CTCCTCTGACCTCCCCAGGGCCGCAGCGCTCCGGCGCAGGCCCCAGGAAGTCGGCGACGGGCCTCCTGGGGCCTCCCTGGGGCTGCAGCGCTCTGGTGCGGGCTCCGGGGAGGCAGTGATGGGCCTCCTGGGGCCTCCCTGGGGCCGCAGTTCTCTGGCGCGGGCCCTAGGAAGCTGGCGACAGGCCGCAGTGTGGAGTGCTAGGGACGGGGCTTGCTGCCACCGCCATTTGTGCCAGCTTCTGGGCTCCCGGAGCGGCGCTCTGGCGCGCTCTTGCCCCAGATTAAGAGTTCCTATCTATACCTTGTGGCTAATAGCCACAGATGGACCTCTGCTCCAGATGTTTATCCAATTCCCTCTTGAAGCTGTCTATGCTTGTAGCCACCGCCACCTCCTGTGGCAGTGAATTCCATGTGTTAATCACTCTTTGGGTGAAGAAGTACTTCCTTTTATCCGTTTTAACCTGAACGCTCAGCAAATTCATTGAGTGCCCACGAGTTCTTGTATTGTGAGAAAGGGATAAAAGTACTTCTTTCTCTACTTGCTCTATCCCATGCATCATCTTGTAAACCTCTATGATGTCACCCCTCAGTCATTGTTTCTCCAAGCTAAAGAGCACCCAAGCGCTTTAACCTTTCCTCATAGGGAAAGTGTTCCAACCCTTTTATCATTCAAGTTGCCCTTTTCTGCACTTTTTCCAATGCTATAATATCCTTTTTGAGATGTGGTGACTGGGCCCGTAGCTACAGTGGGGCATTCTGAGGCCTGGCTCCCTGACTTCTTACCAAGCCCCCCTGACTTCCATCTAGTCCAGGCCCCCCACTGCCACCTCTTCCCCAAGCGCGGCTTGCTTCCCTTCCCTCTCACCCTGTTACGGCCGGAGCCCCTTGCCCTGCCATGGGAGGCCTCTGTGGATGAGCAGCTGCCTGCTCCAAAATGGTCCTGCCTGCTCCAGCTTACAAGTGTGAGTTTTTAAATTTTTATTTTATTTTTTATTTTTGTGACGCCAATGCGCCATCTTATTTCCAAATGAGGTCACACCATCGATTTATACAGGGGCATTATGATACTGGCTGATTTGTTTTCAATTCCCTTCCTAATAATCCCCAGCATAGCATTGGCCTTTTTTATTGCAGTCGCACACTGTTTCAACATTTTCAGTGAGTTATCTACTACGACTCCAAGATATCTCTCTTGGTCAGTCTCTGCCAGTTTGGACCTCATCAATGTGGATTTTTGGCCCCAATGTACATCACTTTGCAGTTGGCCACAATGAACCCCATTTGCCATGTTGACGCCCACTCGCCAAATCCTCGACAGACCCCTTTGGAGTGCCTCACAATCCTCCCTGGTTCTCACCACCCTGAACAATTTCATGTCATCCACAACTTTAGCCACTTCACTGCTTACTCCCAACTCCAAATCATTAATGAACAAGTTAAAAAGCATCGGACCTAGTACTGAGTCTATGGTACCCCACCAGTTACCAGCCTCCACTGTGAAAACTGCCCATTTATACTCACTCTATTTCCTATTAACGAGCCAGTTTTTGATCCACAAGAGGACTTGTCCTTTTATCCCATGACTATTGAGTTTATTTAGGAGCCTTTGATGAGGAACTTTATCAAAAGTTTTCTGGAGGTCAAGATAAACAATATCTATTGGATCCCCCTTGTCCACATGTTTGTTCACCCCCTCAGAGAACACTAACAGGTTAGTGAGACAAGATCTTCTCTTACAGAACCCATGCTGAGTCTGCCTCAATAGTTTTTGTTCATCAATGTGCCTACTAATTCTCTCCTTAATAACAGTTTCCACCAACTTACCCGATATTGACGCCAGACTGACTGGCCTGTAATTTCCCAGATCTCCTCTGGAACCTTTTTTAAAGATGGGAGTGACATTAGCTACCTTCCACTCCTCAGGAATGAAGGCAGATTTTAAGGAAAAATGACATATTTTTGTCAGGAGATCCACAAGTTCATATTTGAGTTCTTTCAAAACTCTTGGATGTGTGCCATCTGGGCCTGGTGATTTATCCGTTTTTAAGGTGTCTATCAGTCGTAGGACCAACTCTCTCATCACCTCAATCTGACTCAGGTCTTTCAACACCCCTCCCAAAATCAGCAGTTCTGAGGCAAAAAATGCATCACCTCAATCTGACTCAGGTCTTCCAACACCCTTCCCAAAATCAGCAGTTCTGAGGCAAAAAAATGCATTCAGCTTCTCAGCCATTTCCCTATGATCCTTCAGTAATCCTTTTTCCCCTTGGTCATCCAAGGGCCCCACTGCCTCCCTGGCTAGTTTCCTGCTTCTAATGTATTTGAAGAAAGTTTTATTGTTGGTCTTTATATTTTTTGCAATATGCTCCTCAGATCTAATCACAGACTTGCATTTTATTTGCCACAGCCTGTGTTCCCTTTTATCAACCTCACTGAGACTAGCTTTCCACTGCTTAAAGGAATCCTTCTTACCTTTTACAGCTTCCATTACTTTGTTTGTTAACCATATAGGCAAGAAGTCTTGTCAAAGTATAGTAGAGGAAAGACAATTTTCAAGCACCGGTCCTTGGTGCAAGAATAGAAGCATCCGCGACTAGTAGTCTTAAAATAAACATTTTTGCAATGCCATCTTGAATGCATTTCCAAGAGGAGATTTCTCAGTCTTGAATGCATCGAGCCCAGTCTATTGAAATCTCCTCTCCCTTGTCCTGCATGGTGCCAGTGGGCATACATTAAGCATGAACAAGAGATGACCATTTGCTGAAGCACCACCAGGCCTATTTCCAGGGGATACTCCTCTGATTATGCCAGCTTTTTAAAGAAACCTCTGGGCCTCTCTTTCGCTCAAGCCTGTAATTTGCCTGCAATTGAGGTAGGAAGGCTAATGTTAGATGCTTCCTTTACATGTTGCTTCCATTCTTGGTTAAGGAAATTATACACTCAAACCTGACAGGGCCAAACCAACCGACTTGTGATTTGGCACCCACCAGTGGCTATGTTTGTAGTGGGCAGTGGTCTCCCCAAGACTGCTGGGTGATGTGGCAAGCAGTAATGGACTTTAGGCTTTTCCCTAACGTTGCCAACTTCCAGGTGGGGCCTGGGGATCCCCTGGAATTGCAAGTGATCTCCAGACTGCAGACACCAGTCTCCCTGGGGAAAATGGCTGCTTTGGAAGGTGGACTCTGTGGCATCGTACCCAGTTGAGGTCCCTCCCCAGGCTCCACAACTCAAATCTCCAGGTATATCCCATGGGGTGGCAAGCCCAGGGTTCCCAACGCCCTTGGGGGGGGGGGGGAAGTCCTATCCCTTTAACAGAGGTTTAATGGGATGTTCTTTACCAGCTGATGTTACTTACCTCTGTACCATGAAAAGCTGGAGCTGCCTGTTTCCATACATCATGTTTCTGGTAAAGAGCAAATATATTTTTCTCCAGGCCTGTTGGCACTCATATTTGCCCCTGTTCCTTATTTCAAGGAATTGCTCCTTATTTTATTATATTATTATTTTGTTTTACAAATGCTCATAGAAAAGATGCACCATAACTGCAAATACCAACTCTGATATATTACACAGAACATCTACTGAAGTTCTGATAACCTTCTGGTGTACATAGGCTGCCGTACTAAGAATACTTCCCTGGGAGTAAGTTCCATTGAATAAAATTGGGCTTACATCTGAGTACGCACACTCCTTTTTCTTAACAGTCTCACAAATGTGTTCCTTATTCTGGGGCTCTTCAGGTGGCATTGCTAAATGGAATGAAAGGCCAGGCACATGGGACACACAGAAGAAGGAACAGGACAGGATGGTGTGCCCATGACCTCCCCTCCCCACAACCCCTCCGCTAGCTTTTCTCCCATCCAATCTGTCCTCAAACAAACCCAGCGAGGCAAAATTGGTGTTGGGGGGGGGGGGAGAGATCGTAGGCAGTAGGGTTGCCAACTCTGGATTGGGAAATATCTGGAGATTTTGGGGGTGGAGCCTGAGGAGGACAGGGTTTGGGGGGAGGGGAAGGGACTTCAATGGGGCATAATGCCATAGAGTCCATCTTCCAAAGCAGCCGTTTTCTCCAGGTAAACTGATCTCCGTTGGCTGGAGATCAGTTGCAATCCCAAGAGATCTTCAGCCACCACCTGGAGGTTGGCAACCCCATGATTAAGGACTTTAAAAGACACACTTCATCTTAGCAGTGCAAACCTCTGAGATTTCTGTGAACATCCATTTTGAAACTCTTGATTCACAAACCAGCCTTTAGAGACTCAGGGTGCAATATAGCTCCTGGTCCAAAGCTAATTTGGCTGTTGAAAGCTGTTTAAATATCAATATTTGTCGTTGGTTTAATGGATAACAAACTAAGGCTGAAATGCAATACTAAGGACAATTTCTTGGGAGTAAACAGCACTGAATAATATAAGACACTTCCGGATAAACCTGATTACGATTGCTCCATAACAAACGTGAATAAGCAGAACAAAGTCTGAGTCCCGTGGCACCTTTAAGACCAACAAAGTTTCATTTATACCCAGAATAAAACGTTGTTGGTCTTAAAGGTGCCACTGGACTCAAACTTCGTTCTGCTGCTTTAGACCAACCCGGCTACCGGGTGAATAACGAATAAGGAACCAGCTTTAAGAAACTTCGAGGAAAGGCTGCAATCCTACGTATACTTCCCGGGGTGCACTTTGAAGTAAATTTCCCCACCCCGATTTCGGTGGAGCTTCTTTTCTGCCTAAGCGTGCACAGGACCACACAGTATCGCTTTCACGTTATATACTGTGATCCAGGAATAAATTCCATCGAATACAGTAAGACCCGCTTCCCCAGTAAACATCAGCGCCAGCATTGCGCTCGGGGAATTCTACTCACAATGCGGAGCGGGTCGCTGAAATCGAGCACCGGCCCCTTTAAGAAGTTGCCACTCAGCTGGGCTGAGCAAAGTTCCTGTTTCCCTACGCGCGAGCCGCTCTAGGAGCAGCGCGACCGATGGTTTGAGGCGGGCACTGAGACTGCGCGTCTCGCTTATTGCAGAGGTTTGGCCTCACTCGGTACCCGGTGCCCGGGAAAAGCCAAAGTGGCATAAAGCGAGTTCCGTTCTTCATCTCGGCTCCTTGGAACCAAAAAGTGGAGCCTGACGAACTTCGCGGCCAGGGTGAGTGCAGGTGGCTGGAGCTGGCGTTGCCGTGGGCCGCTGTCAGTGTGGGTAGGTTAGGCTGGTAGAGCAGGTTCTACTGCGTTCTCACTGCCCTTTATTGGAGATTCAGTAAATGTATGGTGGTAAAGCGTTAACTAGGCACCCAGCACGTGTTTGCTGAAGATGATGTTCCATTGAATTCAATAGAAGTAAGATTCGCGCACGCAGGAGAACGAGATGGTAGAATGAAGTGGTTATTTCTTTGATTATCCTTTTTGTTTGCAGGAACTCAGTCAAGTTCCCACTCTTTAGTTCGCAGGGCGGAGACTGGTGTGTTCAAAACAACACCCGTTTGTGCATCATTAGCAAGAAGACAGAGGGATGCGCACAACCAACATTGCCAACTTCTAGTTGGAGCCTGGAGATCTCCCAGGATCACAATTGATCTGCGGATGACAGAAATCATTTCCCCTGGAGAAAATTGCCAATTCTGAAGGTGGACTATGGCATTTATATACTGCTGAAGTCCCTTCCCTTCTCAAACCCCACCCTCCCCAGGCTCCACCCCCAAAATCTCCAGGAATTCCCCAACCCAGAGCTGGCATCCCTAGGCACAAATGGTCATGCAGTCTGCGCCTGTGGTTCTAACTAACACAGAGATATAACAAACAGAGACTCAATCTCATGAGTCTCAACCACCAAACACAAATACCAGAAAGGAGAAAAGGTCATAATGTATAATACATACACCACACTTTCAAGTGGTGGAGTGGGGCGGATCCTTTTGATACACTGTTTTCTCTTAAGATTTCCCTGCAAATAGAAAACTTGCACAGCAAGCAAAGAGAAAGGGGTAGGGTTTTTTCTCCTTGCCCTAGTTTTCTGTTTTTATGGACTTTAGAAAAATGTCAAAGAACACTCAGCCAGTGGTTAGAGTGTCGTGGTTAGAGTGCCAGTCTGGGATCTGGGAGGAGCAGGTTCCGATCCTCACTATGCTATGGAAGCTTGCTGGATGACCCTCAGCCAGTCACACACTCTCTGCCTCACCTACCTCACAGGGCTGTTATGAGGATAAAATGGAGAAGAGAAGAACAGTGAGAGAAAAATGGGGTATAAATAAAATGAAATAAAGAAAGAAATAGAAAATTGTAATCCACCACCTGCAGTCTTGAGTGCTTTGGCCCAGGTTTATGTGGCATTCATTCTTCGATGTTGTGTGAACTGGCTTTACTCTAAAAATAACTGGTTGGAAGAAATTCCAGAGAAATAGCACTGTTGGTCTGGCACAGTAAAAAGGAGTGGAGTGTTCTCTGGCAACCAGTGAGAGAGTGGGGGGTGGAGACTTCCATTTGGGGAGAGGTGATTGGTGTCCTTGGTGCAGTGACATCGTTTCTGGTGCAACCTGGAAATGATGCCATTGTGCTGGGGTCATGTTCTAGTATCCAACCAAAACTATGGTTTATCCATGGAGTTTTGGGCAAATACTAGAACATCACGTGGTGCGATGACGTAATGTCCCAAGTTGTGCTGGAAGCTACATCACACCTGGGAATTTCCTCCCACCACCACCCAGCAGAGTGGTGGTGGGCAATGAGAGCTGGAGGCATTACATCACCTGCCTTCAGCAGGTATTTGTCAACCCCATGGTTGGGGCTGCAGCCCTGATTAGAAACTTGGTGATGGCATTGATTGTCTGTACAGAGGGGGAAAGCCAAAATTTATCCTCTTGTTTCCCTCTTCCATGCACCTGGACAGATTGTTATTGAAATTTGTTTAATTTTGAATTTATAATATTATTAATTTTAACAATTTCAATACAATAGCACTGACATCTGATAAATATTCATTAAAATAACCGACTGTAACCATAACACATCTAAACATACAAGCAAACAATCAGGTTTTATGTTAGGAGAAGTTGAATGCAACTTACTGTTCTGCATATATTCAATAGGTAAAAAATAAGTGAGCATTAAAACCTAATACAGGCTATCATATTGACTCATGGAGAAATGAAATCTAATTTGCTAGGGTACTGTCAAACAACCCCTTAACTGTGACACACATAGTCTAAGCTCATTAGAAAAATAATTCTTCCCCTCAAAATAGTAACCTCAGAGTGCACTTCCAAACAATTGACATTCTAATAGTCAGTGTACCTTTGGTATACACTAAATTACAACAGACTGATTTGAATATATTTTCATATATTTAGTGTATTCATACCCAAAGGTACACTGACTGTTAGAATAATCTGAAATAGTGTCAAGTTTAATCAATCCTTTAATAGCAGTGAAGAAAAGAAAAAATCTGGGATGGTCTCCCTTCTCCTTGATTCAGAACTGACTCTATAAGCTTTCTCAGTAGGCATTCAGAATAAACTTGTCTATTTCTGTCATTTCCTGACTAATAATGTTCTGTATGATTGCTGCTGGTACTGCATGCATTAGTGATCTCATACATAGATGCTTGAGAAGGTTTTAGATCCAGGAAGGAGCCAACTACTACATTCAACATTGGCAAGCACCAGCTGAGACAACTGACCCAAACAGAGAAGATGCTTGCCAAACAAAGGGCAAGGTTGCTTGGTTAGATGGTCTGGGCACATAATTTACAGTAGTGGCAAGTATTTTATTGACTTCAAGGATCAACCTTGAAGAACTTTGGAGTATGCATCTGCAAATGAGCTGGCTTGGGCTGTTTGTTTAGGTGAAGATGGCATGTCCACTGCATCTTCTTTATCATTCTGAGTGGGGAAGCAATTTCTAGGAGAAATGGTACTTGGCTTAGAAGGCAGCTAAGCATTACAAGGTGACCGAGTCATGTGTCAGCATCAGTTGAATGCAAATGAGACTTTTTTGCAAGAGGTTTTTAAGTGTACATTTCAAGAAATGTCCTCATCTTTCATAGAACAAACCCCAGCTATCCGTGGGGTAGAATCTGGGGGTATGGGAGTTCTCTTACTCTTTCAGGCATAGATTTTGGAAGGAGGCAGCTTTATGATTTCAGAATGCAGGCTCATTTTACTGGTTTGCTTCTGTAGTGCTGCCCTGTTTGACAAACTCCCTCCCTCTCTCCCTCTCTCTCTCTTTACCATTTCTTCCTGGACAAACCCCCCCCCCCACTAGGATGTGTTCCCTAGCACTCTTCCCACCTCCACCGCCTCCAAGAGACATCACCCTCTATGAATACAATAATGCACTGGTTTCTGGGCACAGCAGTGAGAAGCTTCCACATCCTATCCAAGCACAGGTAAGCAACAGCTGTTGATTCCAGGAAGAAACCAACCTAGGTCTTCCTTGTGTTCCCATCAGCTAGTCTTGAGAGAGGGGAAGGAAAAATGAACTGCTTTTTTTCATCTGGCTGAACAAAGTATAGAACAGAAGGCCCAAGAAATCTACCATTTGTGTGTCTGTGTAAATATACACATATGCTAGATAGCAAAGGTAACAGAACTATGATAGCAAAAGCCACGTGCAGCCCCTTTGCTACAAATATCAAGATCTACCATGCAGTATAGGTGTAAAGTTACTCAGATGTTCATTAGTACAAACAAGAGATGTCTCAGTATTCTGAATAAATCACTGGTCCATTACTCCATTTTGTATGACCTTGTAATTGAGATCCTTATGTGCAGGAGATGTAACAAGAGGGGAGAGGGAAATGCAAACCCCAAGGGTCAGTCTATGACAGTGTATCATACATACTGACATTTAACAGGCAGATTCTTAGTTACTGGAAGTCACAAGGAAAGCATGACTGTCCTTAAAAATTATAATGGTTACCATGGACATCCTGTTGATGATAGCATATCTGCTGCAGTCTCTAAAATCATTCTGTGCAATCCATCCAAAGTCAAAGGATTCACTTTCTATTGAAAGAAATGCATGCTCTCACAATCTAAACTTGCTATATTCTTGAATATGTGACTTTAAAATACTATAATTCAAAACCTATCAGAAATACTGCAGTAAAAAAAGAGTAGATAAAATTGCTAGCATCCCTGCTTTCCCTCTTCCTGTGTATGTTTTTTTTCCCAGTTTGCAAGCCTGAGGTCAGGGCTTGGCATTGTTTTTGGAACACAGTTTTCTTAAAAGCAGGATATAAAGGCTTGGATCCAGCAGTGATTTTCACAGTCAGAGAGGTTTTCCAGCTGTGGAGTGCAACTTTCTTGTATCCCCTCCTTTCATTGCAGCCCAAAATGCACCCTGAAATGGTATTCTAGGGACAAGGGTATATGATGACTGTAGCAGAATGGGAGAATTGGCACATGCCCCCTTTTGTCAACCAAAATCTTCTTCTGGATCCAACCCGGAGAGAGTAAATGTGTCATATGTTGGTTATCTTAACAGAAAGATCCATTCTACCCTCCTGAATGCTTTACTTTCCCTATATATTCCTATGACTGAATAAACTGTAATCCTGAAGCAGTGTAAACATCTTTATTCAAACTTTCTAGAGTAATTCTTCAAAAATTATTCTACTAAATCCCTTTTTGAAGGCAGTCAAGCTCTGATTTCTATGTGGCTGTACAATTTTCAGTAGACAAAACCAATGCACTTTGTGCTGCAGTAATAAACTATCTAAATCATTATTGTGATGTGAATGTGGCTCACGTTTGCTATAAAAATGAAAAATCTAAAAACCTGTGTCAGAAAATTTGTATTTTGCAAAAACTTGAACCAAAACAGGTTCTAATCCTGAATTTCTAATTCTGCTCTTAGTCTGTGGAAATTTGGCACCCTAAGTTGCTGATATCTTTTGCCCACTGTCTGGGGCTGGACCTTCTCCCATACTTACCTGTACCACAGCAGGTGGCCATGACACTGGCCCCTGTCTTTGGGCTGCCAACAGCTCTGCTGGGAGAGGTCATCAGGAAGTTTGGGCTAAATTGTCACCAATATGCAGATGATACCCAGCTCTGCCTTTTCCACTGAATTCTGAGGATGCTGTTGATGTTCTGAACTGGGGCTTGAGTCAGTAATGGGCTGGATGAGTGTTCTCTGTGTTGGTAGAAAGACAGACCAGGGACCTCAGATGAGATCTCTTGGATTGAGTTTTGCTCCCCTTGAAAAGCCAGATTTGCAAATTGGGAAGACGGCTGCAGTGGCCCAGAATGCTTTTGCCCAGCTTGGGTTGCTGGTGCATCAGTTGCATCTGTTCCTGACTCAGTCAGAACTGTCCAGAGTGATCCATGCCTTAGTTACATGTAGACTGGACTGTTGCAATGCACTTTTCTTGGGGCTACCCTTGAAGAGTGTTTGGAAGCTGCAGCTGGACTGCTGGTTGTGGCCAGCTGTCGGGAGCATGTGACCCCAATATTACTAGGCTACTGATCAGCTCCTGAGCCTAATTCAAGGAGTTGGTTTTGTTCTTTAAAGCCTTACATGACTTGGGACCAGGGTATCAAGGACCGTCTTCTCCCATACGTTCCTGCCCAGAAATTAAGATCGTAGGGAGGGGCCATCCTGACTGTCCCGTCAATCAAATAAACTCGTTGGGTGGGTGCAGGAGAGAAGACCTCTTCAGTGGCTGCCCCGCAATTACATAACAACTTCCCCAGGGAGGTGCAGCCCTCACAATCTCTCTTCAGGAGCAGCTGAAGATGGTTTCATTTGGAATTGTCTTTGATTAAAGCATTAATAAATTGTGATTTTAAAGTTTGGTTTTATGTTTTTATGTAATCTGTTTTATGCGTTTTGTTAATGTTGTAAGCTGCCTTGAGCCCCACATGGAGGTAAAGCAGCTAATAAATAAATATAAGCAGCCACCCTATCAATGCATCTAATGAATGAGGGCATCGGATCCCACAGAGCATTCTGGAACCAAATTGGTATAAATCTGCTCGCCGCCTAGACAGGAGGGGGCTGGGATACCCAACCAGGCCTTCAGGGCAAAGTGATCTGACCATCACACTTAATCTTTAGTGATCAGATCCATATCCATCCCCATGCCAAAGGTAAAATCCAGTGTGTGGCCTGCTTAGTGTGTGGGACCTGATACAATCTGGGAGAGTCCCTGTGCTGCCATGGAAGACGCTGTCTCTGGTCCCTGCAAGGGGGCAGCAGCATTGGCATGGATGTTGAAGTCTCCAAGAACTATCAATCTAGGGAACGCCAAGGGCCAAGTCGCTACCACCTCCATCAGGCTCAGTAGGTTGTCCGCTGGGGTGCTAGGTGGACGGTACACCAGACACACAGCCAGACTCTCCTCAGTATCCCAGACTAGGCCAATGCAATCAGTAATGGTGATCTTTGGAACAGGGAGTGCCCTAAAGGAAAAACCCTCTTGGGCCCCAGTCACACAGGAGGCTTTGATCTGTGAGAGAGACGAATCGGGGGCGCATCAAGCGGGCGCGATCACACCGCAACATCTGGGAAGCGGCGCGCACCTGTCCCCGATCCCTCTCTTCCGACCGAAGATGTGGATAACCCCCCCCCCTACAAAACACTACTACCTACCAGAAAATCCGCAGCAGGGGCGGCCATGTGATTGCCGGCGTGCCTGTCTCCGGCAGCATGCGAGGCTCCCTGCCAAACTGCGCAGGTGCACACATGCGCAGCGGCCTCGCCTCGCTCACCGATCTGTGGCTTCCCCCCTGGCATCTGATCATGCCAGGGAGCAACTGCGCGGCGGCTCGGGGGGATCTGTCTGATCCCGCCGCCGCGCTTCTCTTTTGATGCGGCTCAAAAAAGCCACACTTCAGCCGCACCTTTTCCCCCGGTGTGACCGGAGCCTCAGATGAGTATCGCCACCACTACCTGCCCCTCAGTTTGAGACTAATGGAGGACCGAGAAGCCTGGCAGGGTCAGCTCTTTTAAGGTGACCGTTTCACCCTCCCTTGTCCAGGTCTCGGTCACGCATGCCAGATTCACATCTTACACTGCTATACAATTTTGCAGTGTCATGGTGTTATTGATGGACTTGGCATTGCACAACATCAGTGTCGAAGGGTGGTGTGTTTTCTCAGCTCTCCCGCCTCGGGATGGGACAAAGGTTGGAAGGAGATCGAACATAACCATATTTCCATCTTCTTCCATTCCAATACGTTCTCCCACCTCGATACCTCCCTCTGCCCCCCAGTCCCTGGGATCCTTCGCCTGACACTGGTGCTCACAAAATTAGTAACACATAAGTATGCTGAGCTATGTAAACTCTGCATCAGAAAAGAGGGGGGGGGGAGTTCTGTGCATAGAAAACCTGAATTCTGCAACCTGTATTTATTATGCAGATTTCCACTTATGTTTTGCATGATTCTAGTAACAGGGAGGGGCAAAGAGCTATTTAGAACATGTAACCTGATCTCTCATAAAAATCCTTCTCTCCCATCTCTAGTTGGGAATTCTCTGTGCTTTCCCTGCAGGCTGATGAACTAGAGATGATTTGTATTGGAATTTAAACATGAGATTTTTCTGATGTGAAATTCCACACTGAGTTCTAATTCCTCCACTTGTGAACTCATACTGCATCACACAGAGCCCACTATGAATGTGCTCTCCTCAGATTAATACATAGATGAGTCTTTTTCCTCTGTGGACCCCTCCTGGTTCTTTTGTACAAAACAGGTATTCAGTTTTTCCCGTCTACTGTTGGTTGTTTGGCTGGCTGTATAGGTGGAGGACCTGCCCACCCTGACCATCCCGAAGGAAATGCTGAAAGCCCACAGCCGACTGGAACACAGCACTAAGCCGGCCTTCATTCATCACCGGGAGATCCTGTGGAAGAGGTGCATCAACGCCTGGTGAGTTTGAGGTCAGGTGAGACAGGAGGGCAGAAGATCCAACTGTGATCCATGCGACAGTCACCTCGAGGCTTGACTACTGTAACGCTCTCTACTTGGGGCTGCCTCTGTTGCAAATCCGGAAGCTGCAGCTAGTGCAGAATGCTGCGGCCAGGTTGTTGTTGGGTCTCTCTAGGTGAGACCATATTCAGCCTGGGTTGCAAGCGCTGCACTGGCTGCCGATAGCATACCGGATTCGCTTCAGAGTGCTGGTTCTTACCTTTAAAGCCCTGAATGGCCTGGGTCCGGCCTACCTGAAGGACCGCCTCTTCCCGTGTGTTCCCTCAAGAGCACTCTGATCGGGGAATTGCCATCTCCTGATAGTTCCGGGACCCCGAGAGGTTAAGCTTGCCACTACTAGGGCCAGGGCATTTTCGGTGGAACTCCTACCTGGTGGAACGAGCTCCCAGAGGAGATCCGGGCCCTGCAGGACCTTGTGCAGTTCCGCAGGGCCTGTAAGACGGAGCTCTTCCACCAGGCATTTGAGTAGGAGCCGCCGCCGCCGCCACTATCCTACCAACGAGATAGTATGTCATCGGCTGCCCTGCGAAGGTGGGACAGTTATGTCCAGGCTGAAGTTTGACAGCTTAGCGGGGAGACCGCGTACTGGAAATGGCTGGCCACCAAGTTGGAAGATCGTCCCCATCTTGACTGATGATGTAGCATTGTGTTTTAGGTCGCTTACTGTGGATTAAATATTGTATTTTATTGTGTGTTTTATTGTATTTTAGATCCCGGCCTTGCCGCTTGTGAACCGCCCTGAGCCTTTGGGAGGGCGGTTTAGAAATCTAATAAATAAATTAAATAAATAAATAAATAAAAAGAGGGGTGGTTTCTGAGCCTTTAAAATCAAGCTTGCATTGCCTCTCGAGCTTTCTTCCTGGAGGCTGGAGAGAGTTGTTGGAAAGAAAACTGGAGACTATCTAGAGAGGCTTCTGTGGTGAAAATTGGCACATAGAGCATGCACAGAGATATCACAGGATTTCCTCTGCTCCTAGGCGTGACGTCGGGGTGGCCGGAGTGCTGGAAGAGCTTGCGAATGCAGAGGGGGAGGAGCAGTGGAACCAGGGGCTGGGCGAGCAGTCTTGGACGGACTCTGCAAAGCAACTAGGTAATGCTGAGAGCGCCTGGAGCCCTCAGTTTGTTTACAGTGTATCTCAGGGCCCCTTTCGTGCTCCTTGCACTTTTTTCCAGAGCACTGGTTTGAAAGTATTAATCCTCAAACGCACAACTTCACTGTCCTCTTTGCGCGCTCTCTCTCTCTCTCCCCCCACTTTTCCATGTCTTGTCTACTAAATTTGTATCCCACTCTTCCTCTAAGGAACTCAGGGTGGTATTCATCATTCTCTCTTCCCCCATTTTATCCTCACAACAACCCTGTGAGGTGGGTTATGCAATTGGCCCAAGATCGCCTGGTGAGCTGCATCACTGAGGGCAAACGTCTGGCCGCCCAAGCTGTAACCTTGTGTCTCCCCCTCCTTAACATGTAGTAACGCTCATGTCGTGCCCTGACATCATCAAACTGTACATTCCCATGCCATCCAGAAACACAATCTCATCGTAGGGAAAAACTCAAATGAGATAGCATTTTTTGAGGCAGCCCCGTGTCGTTTATATTGTTTACTTCCGCCTTGAAATATCGGAATTCCATTATGTTGCTTGAGACAGAGAGTCTCCAACTGGTAGCTCCCTAACTGCTGCAGAGTAGCTTGTGCATCCCCTAGAAAACCCAGGAGAAGGCAGAGAAAAGATTTACTGCCCTGATCTGGATAGCCCAGGCAAGCCCAATCTTGTCAGATCTTGGAAGCTAAGCAGGACCGACCCTGGCAAGCACTCAGATGGGAAACCTCCAAAGAATACTAGGGCCAGGACGCAGAGGCAGGCAAAAGTAAGCCAATTCTCTGAATGTCCAAGCCCCACTAGGGGTTGCCAGAAGTCAGTCATGACTTCCAGGCACTCATGTGTAAACACACGCACACACACACACACACGACACAAATGCGAAAAGAAAAGATCTGCTATTGGGTTGTTTTTTTTAAAAAACCCAACTTTTATTTTACATGATTTTTCTATATGCTGCTGAGCTGATAGCGTCACACCTGGTGCTCTTCCTAGTCTGTGGTCTGTTTCTCGGGCAGGACAAAACTTGGGGTCACGTGCCACAGGGGTGGGAGTAGAGTAGCTCAGGGTATTTTTCATTACTCAGAATTAGCTCTCATTAAAGACTAGGCTGGCAACCCCTAGACTAATGAATAAGCCAGCATTATGCCAGGATCCCATTCTCTTTGAAAAGAAAGATGCGAGAGAGAGAAAGAGTCAGTGTGCGTTGATAGGTGGATAAATGTCGTGAGGGGAACCACAGCATGGCGCCTCTCAATCTAGAGCTGAACTTGGCTTGGAAAGCCCTCCTTTTCCTGGAGTCAGCAGCACTCTAGAATCTCATCATTCTACCCCCACTGCATTATTCATTGGCTGTCTTGCGCTGTCTCATTGCACTGCTTTATATCCTGTAATCTGCCTTGAAACTTAGGGAGAAAGGTGGACTCTTGATCGTGTCCTCTGTTTCCTTGCAGCTGTCCGATGGCTGAAAGCAGGATCGTGCTGTACGCTGGCTCTCTGTCGCTGGGTCTCCTCCCTCCACGGCTCCTTCTTTCCCCATTTGTCGGTGAGGCTTGAGCAACGCTGGCCTGAGCGGGACAGAAGCACCGGGATTGGTTGATAGCAGGAGGGTGTGACAGTCCAGGCCGGGAGTATGGCTGGAGTGCTCGCTATGCCAATCGAGCCCTCTCTGGATTCTGTGGGCTTGTTTTAATGGAGAGAATCTTTTCTCCCCTAGTCAAACGTCACCCCCATGAGCCCTTCCAGAGCCTGGAAAAAGTGCAGAAGGAGGCAACCAAGATGATTAAGGGGGTGAAGCACCTTTCTTACAAGGAGGGAAAAGACTAAAGAGTCTTCTGTTTAGAGAGAAGACTGCTAAAGGGGGACAGGATAGATGTTTATAAAATTATGTCTTGGGTGAAGAAAGTGGACAGAAATAACTGCTTCTCTCTTAATACTAGAACTCAAGGGCGCCCAATGAGGTTGATGGGCAGTAGATGCAGGGCAGACAAAAGGACTCACCGAGTAATTAAATTGTGGGATTCAGGGTCGGTGAAGGTAGTGATGGCCACAGGCACAGGAGGCTTTAAAAGGAGGTCAGACAGACTCGTGGGGGATCGGTCCGTCAGTGGCTACTAGCCATGATGACTAAAGCGACCCTCCACATTCTGCACTCTGTTGACCCTCCAAGGTGACTGGTTGGCTGCTGCGTGAAGCGGCCTGTTGGACTAGATGGACCACTGGTTTGATCCATCCAGGGCTCTTCTGATTTTCACTCCTACCCAAGTTCAGCCCATGGCTTGAAACCCAGTTTTGAAACCTGCACAAACCGCGTGAGACTGTTGCCAAAGTACTAATATTTTTCTTTGTTTTTCCCTTCCATCTAAAGCTGCCTAGTGAAGATATGATAGCTGAATTCTCCCAGGCTGTGGATTGGTAAGTTCTGTCTGCTCAGGGCAGGCAGGTCATGGCATGCATGGTCTGCTGCATCACCCATCCTTATACAACCTGAGTGCTAAGCATGTGCAGTGGAGTCATTACTCCTGAGTTGTCCCCGAAGTGATCTTTAATATGTGATTGCATATATGCAGGGAGGCAGAAATCTTCTGCTATGCACAGACAAAGATCACTGCCTTCCACTTGGAATTAGTGACCCTGGAATATTTTCCACCTGTTGGTTCTGCATTTGTAATTAGAATCCAGAGCATTGAAATACCGGTGGGGGGGGGAGAGGAGACGATGGCCTTTTTATTTATTTATTTATTTATTTAATATTTGAATTTATATCCCGCCCTACCCCAAAGGCTCAGGGCGGCTAACAAGGGCACCATGTGCCAAGGTTAAAACAGTAAACACATAATTTAAAAACAATAAATTACAGTAAAATACAATAACAAATTCACAACAGATTTAAACAAGATGGGGAATCTTAACTTCCATAACTACTTCCCAAGATCTTATCATCCAAGCCGTGCCCAGGCGCCTCGCTCCCCCCTTGGGGGCCAGGCAATCATGATGTTAATACGCCAGAGCATAGGGGGCAAAGGTGGAGTAGTGGTGGCGGCAGCTCCTACTCAAAGGCCTGGCGGAAGAGCTCCGTCTTGCAGGCCCTGCGGAACTGAGAGAGGTCCCGCAGGGCCCGGATCTCTTCCGGGAGCTCCTTCCACTAGGTAGGAACTGCCACCGGAAATGCCCTGGTCCTGGTCACCGCAAATTTAACATCTCTCGGGCCTGTGATTTCCAGGAGATGGCGCCCCCCCTGACCGTAGTGCCCCGACAGTAAAGTTTCTGTTATCTGGTGCTCATGGAGGGAAAGGGGGTTGCTGCTTACTCAAGTTTATTGCTGTGCCCTGCCCCCTACCCGGAGGGATCTGCAGTGACGAAACCCCCACCCCATGACGACAGCCCCAGAGCCTGGTGGGACCCTCCCCTTGAGCCATGGAATCACCCTCACAGCTGGCAGACAAGTGGGGCAGCTACCTGGGAGTCCGCTGGCAGAGCAGAGTCCCAACAGCCTAAGAAGGAAACTTGCAAGGGTAACGGCAGCTGCCATTACTGGCTGTCAGAAGCTCAACAACAGCCAGAGGCATCAAGCTGGCTGGCTGGGGATGTGGGAATGGGGCGCACATACCTCCGGAGCCAAAGCCTTATGGCAGTGAGGGGGAGGAGCTGCCCTCTGAGCAGTCCGGGTAGATTGAGCATTCTGGATAATCAAGTGCTGGATAACAAAACTCCCACTGTACCAGTGTTTAGCCATCCTCATTGTGATGCATGGTGCTTTCTCATGACTGACTCTGGTCAGGAATGTGCTGTTGGTCCCACTTACTCCAAATTTGCCAGGCTTCTGTACGTTAGCTCCTGCTTGACTCTTGCGTAAATGAAACATGGTTTCTCTCCTTTACCTTTCTCCCAATTGTCATGATTCAGGGCTGGCTGCTCAATCCGAGCCTTTGCCTGGCATCCCCACACCAGCAAGTTTGCAGTCGCCCTGCTGGATGACTCCATTCGTGTTTACAATGCCAAGAGGTAAGGAATTGTGGTATTCGGAGGGTTCAAAGAAGACACAAGACAAACGGTTGCTGGAAAACTCTGAACTCTCGCCAGGCTGAGCAGAGATATTTATTGAAAATAATTCCCCCGTCCCCCGCCTTTATTCCTCCCTTCGTCAGGGAAAGTTACAGATACGTTCATGGCATGGAATGTGTTGATCTCAAAACCTTACAGCTCCTTATCTCTTGTCCCTTTGCCAAGGTAGCTTCTCACGATGAACGCAGCAGATGTTTTCTGCCTTGTGTAATTAGCCTAATACCTAAAGTTCCCAACCTTTCCTGGAGATCAGGCAGGAGACCAGTGCCCTCATGCGGGTTTGCCACGCAGTCAGCACGGCCCTCCTACAAGGAATGTTATTTCTGTAATATGGACTTGGTCTAAAGAGCTTCTGTTGAGGTTACGGGAAGCCAGTGGCTTATCTGCTCATTACTAGATATCACTTGTAACAAGGGAACAAGGATTTGAGAAACTGTGATCCCCCTATGAGCGTCCTCCTTTAGAGCAGGGATTTGCCATTTTTGCCCTTGCAAAGGCCTTACCAAGTTTTCTAAAAGATTGGTTGAGTATCCCAAAAAGATGAATTGGCAAAGTTCAGTCCTGTCATTAAATTAAGTGGGACACTGAGAAACAGCAGCAGCTGTGATTAGGGATGGGCACAAACCAGACCATGAAGCAAAACTTGTCACGGATTTTGCCCTGCTCGTGGTTAACCAGTTTGGTGTAGTGGTTAAGTGTGTGAACTCTAATTTGGGAGAACCGGGTTTGATTCCCCACTCCTCCACTTGCACCTGGCTGGATGACCTTGGGCAAGCCGTAGTTCTGATAAGAGCTGCTCTTGAAAAAAGAGCAGTTTCTGTCTGAGCTCTCTCAGCCCCACCTACCTCACAAGGGTGTCTGTTGTGGGGAGGGGAAGGGAAAGGAGTTTGTAAGCCGCTCTGAGACACCTTTGGGTAGTGAAGGGCGGGGTATAAATCCAATCTCTTCTTCTTCTTCTTAACAAATAGAACTGTGTGGTACGTCTACATTCATCAGTATGAGCAAGGAGTTAAGCCATTGTTTTTATTTATGTATTCAGTGTTTATCCTACCCATCCTCAAGGGAGCTTAGAGTAGCATAAATGGTATGCCCCTTCTCCATTTTATCCTCATATCAGCCCAGTGAGGTAGGTGAGGCTGAGAGAGAGCGTCAGGCCTAATGTCACTCAGTGAATTTCACAATGAGCGGTCTCCCTAGGCCAGCAGTAATCACTATACCTTTTACTAACTGTATATTTTTGGGTATTTTTTAATATGTGTATGTGTGTGTGTGCACCTGGAAGTCATGGCAGCTTCTGGTGACGGGGGTGGGGGGGGGGGGGGGGGGGGGGGGGGGGCTGGAGGATATTCAGAGAGGTGGCTGAATAAAGCCTGCCCCCGCCTCCTGCCTCCGGTATTTCAAGGAGATCTCCCATCCAAGTACTTGCCAGAGTCGATTCTGCTTAGGTTCCGAGATCTGACAAGATCAGGCTTGCCTGGGCTATCCAGGTCAGGGCCTTTTACTAACTGTTTAACTACAGTGCACCACTGGAATGGGAAGGAAGTGTTGGTTTCATCCCGTAGACCTGTGTGGTGCAGTGACCAGAATATTAGGTGTACACATGAGAAATCCACGCTCAGAAACGTCTGCCTGTGAAACTCACACGGAAACCTTGTCTGAACAAGAGCGCTCGCACCCTGGTTTCCGTTGTGTTATCTGTTTCCCATGCATCTGTGGTTGTGTCCTAACCCGGTTGAGGTGTTGAGCTGGTTTTCCTGTGGTCACCTCAGTCCTGCTTGTCTTCTCCAGTGCAACAGTCCCAATCTTGAAACATCGTTTACAGAGGAACGTGGCGTCGCTGGCGTGGAAGCCTCTGTGTGCGTCCATCCTTGCAGTGGCATGCCACAGCTGTGTCCTGCTTTGGCATCTGGACCCCACTTCCCTTTCCACCAGGTAAGTAGCCCGTAATCGCAAACCTCACTGCAGTATATGCAGCAGCTGTAACCCATGTTGACTCTCACTGGCACAGTTGTTCTTTCATGTTACAGTCGGAACTTTAAGGAAACCCTACTAGCTTTGGGGTCCTTGAGATTATGAAGGACTGTCTTATTTTGGGGAGAGGCTGTTTCCCATTTCTTTTCTCCCCTTTCCACAACCCCATTCTCATAGCTATGACTATTAAAAATTCCAGATGGGTGTTAGTCTGCTGCAGCAAAATAAAACAGAAGTCCGGTGGCACCTGAAAGACTAACAAAATTTATTCCCAGCATATTTCTTTCATGAGCCAGAGCTGACTTCCTCAGATGCATATGCCTCTGACTTATGAAAGCGTATGCGACTGTTTTAAGGTGCCACTGCACTCTTGTTTTACTCTGTATATAAAAGAATCTGGAATGTAACTTATGCCAAGAAACAAGTGCACCTCTGCTTCTTATACAGCTTCCATTAGCTGTGGATGGAAGGACAGAGCCCTTGAAGCCCTTGCAGGCTCTGGAAGTGCTACTGGGTCCCCTCTGGTCCCTGATATTTCTCCAGACGCTGTGCACGTTGTTTATCTTTCTCCCCTTGAATGCTAGACTTGTCTACATATGTGTCGGGAAAGCTGGTATTCTCGGGAAATTGTATTCTGCACTGGACAACCAATGTGATATTCAGTGTTCTGAACATGTATGTAGTTCTGTGTTTGAGTGCTTCAGGTGTCGTGTGTCTCCTGTTCCTGATGGAAAGATCTTGTCTTTTGCCCCTGCAGGCCTTCGTCTGGATGCGCCCAGGTGCTGAGCCACCCCGGGCACTGCCCAGTTACCAGTCTGGCGTGGGCACCCAGCGGAGGGTTGCTCCTGTCAGCGTCGCCTGTCGATACGGCCATGCTGGTGAGACCAGTAGGTTATTTTTGTCTTGGTGGGTGGGAGCAATGTTCCCTCTAAGCTGTGTAGTCTTCTGAGACAAAATTCTACTTTGTGAGCTACTGGCATTAAAGTTGTGAGCAAGTGGTTCAGCTACTGCATAAATTAGTTTGCTCTGGAGTCATCTTTCCTGAGCTAAGACAAAAATGTGTGAGCTGGAGGCTAAAAAACTGTGAGCTAGCTCACACTAACTCAGCTTAGAGGGAACACTGGGTGGGAGGGGTAGCTCCAAAGCCGCATAAGACGACGGAGCAAACAAGGACATTGCTAACGCGATGACTGTCTGCAGCCATAGTTCCTAACTGTGAGAGAAGGATGAGTAGTGTTGGACAGAGGTGGGAATCCGTGGCCGCCCGTGACAAGAGGTATTTTATTTTGTATATTGGTATATTTTTTAATCCTTGCCTTGAATATATTATATAGAAAGGAGAAGCAACATGTTTGTGTAGGCAGCAGGGAAGACATCTTATAGACAGTCATTCCAGCAAACGTTCAGAATTTGAACTATTTGAACTCTCATACAAGAGCAGCGATTATTCCATTTTGTGACTGCCCAAGAACTCCAAAGGTACCCTGAGTCCATTGGCAGTCTCCTGAATGTGATTGTTGCTATTCTCTGGCATGAACACAAAAAGTAGGAAAGCAAATATTTATTTTGGGATCTTCTTGCAGTTCACCTGAAGTTGTTGACTGTGACAGGCAGAACACATAAATGTATGTTAAAAACAATCATAGCAGTGGCCTGAATCAGCCAATAGGTACTGGATATTGGAGAAAGCTCTAACTTTATTAGTCAGAGCAAGTTAAGTTTTGAATACTGAGAGTCAGGAGTTAGGCTTGAGAAGAGTTGAAATTAAAGATCTGAAATGTCATTAGTTACGTTTCACAGAATGGGTAAATGAAGTGTTTCAGCATACTAGCAGGGTTTGCTGGGCCTGGTGTTTAACTTAGTTGTAGCAAAGTACTGTGTTGATAAACCTGCCTGAGAGAGTTTTTCTGAGGCATGTAACAGTTTTGAGGCCTAAGGTCCCACAACTCCTAGCTCACTGTTAAAATTGACCTCAGTTGTGTGTGTGTTTTTTTTTCCTGATTAAAATTTATTCTGGTTCCTTTTTGAAAGCAAAACATCTTGTGCTTCTCAGTTACCAGTCCAGGCTTGCGTGGGTTTCTGCTCAGGCCCCTCAAACCATTTTTAAAATTTCCTTCAGGAAACTCTGTTGAACTGGATTAAGTGTGAAACTCTGTGACAGAGGGCAAAATCCAGTGAGGTGGTATCTAGCCCCCAAGAAATTTGTCACATTGACAGCCACCAAATGTTGACTTATATAAACCACAAGATAGGGGACCCGCGAAATTCGCGGGGGTGGTGGTGGAGCAGAGCAGGCGGAGGAGGAAGCAGCAAGAACAGGTAAGCTCCCCCCCCCTCCATCCTGCCGGTTTCCCCCGTCTCCCCCGTCTCCTCCACAGCGCTCTTCTCCCGAGAGAAGCCCGGACTGGGAAACCATTGTGAGCTGCCGCCGCCTGGCAAAAACGAGCCCGCAGTGGGGAGCGAGGCCAGTTTGGGAGCGTGGCGGCGGCGGGGGATGCTGCCGGGCTCCGGGCCTGCCGGGCTCCGAGCCAAGGACTGCTCAGCACCACCACCACCTATGCCGGCGAGGAAGTGGTTTGGGGAAGGCGGGAGAGAAGGGGCGAGCCTCGCGGCGCAGCGCGCTCCAGAGACCGGGCTACGCTAAAGCACCCCGGGGGGGCGCCGAGCCCAGCCCAGCGCCAAGAACGGCAGAAGGCAGCCAGCCAGCCGGGGAGCCCAGGAGGAGCCAGCTGAGCCGGGAGCCGAAGGGAAAGCCGGAGCGACCATTGTGAGCCCCTCCAGGTCCCAAAGCTGGTGCTCGCCTCGCCGACCTCCCCCCCTTCCCCAGACTTCTGCAGCGAGCCTCCCAATCTCCTCCCCCCTCCCTGTCTTGGGCCCGGCGGATCTCCTTCCCCCAACCCACCCCGGCTCTGGCGGCGAGGCCTGAGTGCCTTCCAGCCGCCGGCCCACCAGTTCCCAGAGCGTTCTCTGCGCGTGCGCAGGGAACGCTCTTTTAATTTTTACTTTTTACCGAATGTAAATATTTTTTTCAACTTTTAGCATTTTTGTGCACACGTGGGAACTGGCCCACGTGTGCACAAACCTCCCCCGGCCCCCCAGCTGCCCCCGGAGCGCTGATTTAGCGATCCGCACTCCGGGGGCAACTTGGCTATTAGATATATAGATGACTTATATAAATCAAGGCTGGTCAGGAGCTCCTTCTCAGCTGAGAGTCCCAGTTGCTGCACAAGCTTTCGTCACTTCTGGATAAAGGTGTCTATATGTCAGACATCTCTGTCACATGAAGCTGTGCTGATTGTTGCTAGTCCAGCAACAGTCATCCAAAGGAAGAGCATATTTCTTTGCCATAGCATGAGCCAGACTCCCTCCTTAGAGTTTGGCGCTACTGTTTCTTCTGGAAGAAACACTTGGAAGTTCCCATGACTTCCTTTCTCAGGGTTGCAGTTCAATAGAATGAACTAGAAGTCCAACAAATAAATTTTATCTCACCTTTCCTCCGAATGAATTTTATCTCGCCTTTCTTCCAAAGAGCTCAGAGTAACTTACATGATTTCAACCCCCCCCCCCTTTTCTGTTGCATCATTCCTGTGGGAAAACAGTACTTGTGCCAAGGTCATCCACTGAGATTCGTGCTCTAATGACTGCCCTAAACCTACCCAAGCCTGAACTGGTAACTGAGGGAAACGGACAAGCAGAAGATGTTTTGCTTTTAAAAGGGAACCGGTTGAAGACCAGCTTTCTATCCATTACATCACAATGGCTTTTATTTAATTTATATCCCACCTTTCTCCCCCAGCCGGGACCCAAAGCAGCTTACATCAATCTGATCTTCTCCTCCTCCTTTTGTCCTGGCAACAACCCTGTGAGGGAGGTTAGGCTGAGAGTGTGTGTGTGCCCCACCCATTGAATTCCTTCTGTTCCATTGGTATCATGGGCAGATCCCCAGTGCTGGGTCAAAACAAAGGCCATGCTGGTCTTCAGAGGGCAGTTGGACAGACCACCATCATTGGTCCCCTCACCCTTGGGCATCTACCTTTAGGTGCTTTTTACCTAGTCAGCCTTCACCAGAGTGCCAAGTATTTGACGCATAAAAAAACAGAACTGCTGATAAATATAAACAGACGTATTGGTACATTTGATCTCTTGCTGTCTTGGTCACGGGGGCTTCAGGGAGGTAGCAGTATTGCACACAAGCCTGACAGCAATGGGTGTGTGGATGCTCTCAGGTCTGCAAGGTAAATGTGTATCTTTCAAGCCTCTTCTCTAATTCCCTCCGTTGTCATTATTCGCTTTAGGTGTGGGACGTATCCACAGAAAACTGTGTCCAGCTGCAGTGGTTTGGAGGAGGTGGGGTCACCTTCCTGGCTTGGTCACCTGACGGCAGCAAAGTACTAGCTGCCACACCTTCAGCTGTCTTTAGGTGAGTAGAGAAGGGGTTAGGAGCCTCATAGACCTTCTGTAGCAAGTGATCCATGATAGCAAGTTTATTTTAATATATTTTTATCCCCCCTTTCCTCCAAGGAGCTCATTTATTTACCTGTCCTTCATTTTATCCTCACAACATCCATGTGAGGTAGCTTAGGCCGAGAGTGCATGGTTAATTAATTAATCAATTATCATATAGCATTGTGTGTAGAATAGCCAGGAGATCCTAAGATTGTTTGGCAGCCAGATGTTCTAGCTCTTTTAGCGTTATGCGCCACTAGGTGGCAAGCTAGACTTGTTTTGAAGGCAAGACATGTTTCAGAGGTGTTTTGCCATTGCCTGCCTCTGCGTCACGCCCCTGGTATTCCTTGGAGGTCACCCATCCAAATACTAGCCAAGGCCAACCCTGCTTAGCTTCCAAGATCTGATGGGATCGGGTCAGCCTGGGCTATCCAGGTCAGGACTAGTGCATGACTGGCCCAAAGTCACCCAGAGAGCTTCCGTGGCACAGAGCAGGTATTTGAACCTGGACCTCCCAAATCCCAGTCCGCCATTGCACCCTGATTACATATGAGGAAAGCCATTCCCTGCTACAGCTCCTCTTTGAACATCTTCTTCTATCCGATTCCGTCCAGAGCAGTCTTACTTTTCTCCAACATTTTGTGTTCTCTTTCTGCAGAGTCTGGGAGGTTCAAATGTGGACCTGCGAGAAGTGGCCGACTATCAAGGGTCCCTGCCGGGTAGGTTGCTGAGCATTGTGGGAGAAAGCTTTTCGAATTAGAGAGAGGTGTTCTGGCAGGGCGCCTCAACAGAAGCAAAAGTAGCTGTAAACTCTGTTTGCTTTTGGCTGCTTTAAAAAAAAAAAAACAGCAGTGAGATTTATAGCCCACCTGTCTCCATTAGGCGCAAAGTGGGTTACGTTCATTTATCTGGTCCATCCTTTGAAGGATCTACAAAGTAGGCCATTGTTTGCACTGATCAGACAGGGGATAATTGAGGCAGAGCCGCTGTCTGGTTCACCCGGATCTGCCCCGAGAGGCGGCGTCTTTGCTGGGATTTGAACACCTGCCTTGCAGGTGTTAGTCCATCTCCTCCTCTTT